ATTGTGTCAGGAAGGTGAGCATCATGGAATGCCAGTTTAATAGAACAAAGTATTCTTGCATTGAGGGGGTACTTGAGTGGAGGCCTAACATCCATCCAGAGCAGATCAATGTTTCATTCAATTATTCCTACCTATTTTGTTCCAGTGATTGCAATCCCAATATGCAACATCAGCTATCCTACTTTCTCCCTATGTTTCCTATTTCCATTTCTCCTTCTTTCCTAACCCTTCTGAACTTTATCTTTGGGTAAATGCCACCTCTTTGATCTCAAATGGTTGACTATTGTAAGGTATTCACTAGTGTTACTGTTCCACATTTTTGACCTATTATTTGGCTGAAAATTGATCCATGAAGCTGAGTTCTCCGGAGTTCCATCGGTCTCTGACAAGTAAGCTTGGTTTGTTTTACAATTTTGAGTTCTGTTCTATACTTTCGTCCCACACTAATGAGGATCTTTTAATGTAATCCCTTTCAGAGCGTTGGTAATAGTAGCCAGGTACCACCTAGTTCTTCTGGTTTCAGGAACATAGAGACTTAAAAACGTAAAAAGCAAGCAACCATCTAAAGTTTAATTATTGGCCTCTCCTTGTCCAGAAGAAGAAGAATGAAAATTGATGAAGCATTGAAACGATTAATCCAATGGACTAATGGGCCACATCAGCCTCTACAGTGTTCAAACCAGTAGGATTTTATGAAAAATATTACTAGTAGTTTTTCCAATATTCATTTTCCCATTCTTCTCTACTAACATAATGCTGATTTTGTTCAGGGAAGTAATATGCTCATTAAAAACCTATATTCCCTTGCAGCCATTGATCATAGGGGTAGTCAAGTGATAACTACTGATAACCATGAAGTACAGAATGTAGGCAATGCTATATTTAGAAGATGTCTATGCTTACATTTTTATTAAAAACTATAAAAGGATAAAATATTCTAATAGTATAATTAGAATAAAAAGCATGATTAAGGAGCACACATTTAAACGCATGAACATAAAGGATAGATAAATGCATGTCTTGCTGATTTTGCCTACACAATCCCAAATACACCAATCACTTACTACCTCTCTATTTTATCAGTGTATCAATGCCCCCTCACCACCCTTACACGAGCTTCTTTGCTGTTCGCTCCTTGATTCCAAGCACACTTCCATCCCAAGGCTTTTGTCTCTGCCTGCTTCCTCTGCCCACAGTGCTCTTCACTCAGGATTTACATGTTTGCTGCCTCACCTCGTTGTGGTTTCTGCTCCTTTGGGAGCTTCCTAACTACCACATCTAAAGCAGCAGGCCCGCTCACTCCTCCCACTGACTCGCTTCACTTAGGAAGTTTTCTATCAGAGTTCTTTCCTACTTTTAGGGAACAGACAATAACATTTTTAAACTGCTCTGAGGCGTTGAAAAGTCAGCCAGGTTATCCAGGTTGTTTTACCCTTTTCTTAAGTTAGAATAACCCAATGCTGACCATGGTGGTGCTCCAGAAAGCAAGGGGGGAGGTTCTACAGGCCACTTTTGCGAATAGATGCAAAAACCTAAGTGCAGTACATGTATTTATCTCAGGTCATCGATACAGTGTATTCAAGACAGAAATACTGAGCAAGTCAGCCCTTTTCTTCAAGTGGTATAAGGAGATGTACATTAAGTCTCCTACTGTGATTCAAACATAATTGTGAACATGAAGAAATGTGTGTTAAAAAGTATCCTCCAGACAGGCAGACTGAGAGAGAATGTACATTTGAGGCCACTACACACACACACACACACACACACACACACACTCACACACACTCCTAGAAATGTTTGTAGAAATGTTTGATCTGCTTATCAAGTATATGAAGCAAGACGAACAGAAGTCAGAACGTGCACCCATACACTGCAAAATGATTGGTCTGCAGACCTGAAAGAAAATATCTCCCATTTCAGGTTAAATGTAACGTCTGTAACCATCAATGACTCAAAGCAGTGGAACAGATCTGCAAATAACCTTTCCA